AGGATTATATTCGAGGGTAAAATAGTGGCTTGCATGTTCCTATGACAGGTAATTCTTTTATTCACAGCTAGATTCTATTCATTGAATTGGTTTTTGTGATCTTACAGGTATTTTGGTACCCTTAACCATACAGAAGGCTGGTGTCCTGGAAGCAAAGCGGCGAGTTTTGGTCAGAATGGTTCCTATGGTACTGTTCCCAACATTAACATAACAGCCTGCGGTTTTACAATTGCATTTTGGGTAAAGTATATTAGTAATGACGGGCCTATACTGGCACTTTGGTCAAAGGGTGGAAAACTATTGTACGTTACAGTCAAGACTTCTAGACTCATTTTATCGATAAACAACTCTTTCCACTTACAAATCAATTCCTGGAATCACGTAGCAGTAACCTGTCAGCTGAATAAGATCAAGGTGTTCATTAATGGAACGGAGGAGACATTGAAGGACGAATGGAATAAGTATTTCTTCTCATCTTTTGGCCGTTATCAGTCCGAGTACATCATAGGGAATGGTCCAGGTTTAGTCCAGATGCCAATGGCAAATGGGGTGTTTGTTGGAGCAGTCATGGATCTTTATGTGACTGGAATAGCTTTATCTGGGAGGCAGGTCTCTGACCTGAGTAAAGGTGAGAGTAGTATATCTATTCGAGGATAAATCGTATTCTTCGATCCTTAATAGAGGTCAGTTGGATGTTAGAAAATTGAATGTTCTTTTTATAGTCCTGTTTTTAGCCTTTTAAAGATTGTGCTAGCATAATGTTTTGGCGCAATTCGTCATAATTTTCATCAATTTTCCAACAACTATTTTAATAATTTGCACTCTTGGCTAGTTTTACAGCTGAAAATTAATCATGTTACCACTTATTTTGGCCCGAGAGTAGAACTACAGGTAAATTTAAGTAACGAAATCAATTTTTTGTCTGCTTATTGTCACATTCATTGGACTTAGGTCCCGCAGGAATTAATCAACGCATGTGCATAATTAGCTCGATTCCTTAAGATGGCGTCAGTGTGCTGGTCGTTAATTCAGGTTTCAGTTTTTGTAGTTGTTAAACAGTCTTGTAGGTTTAGTGGCGTACATTTCTACATTCATCTATCACTGCAAATACATTAGTGGAAATTACTAAGTAATCGCAGTATTATTCTCATTATTTAAAGGCAAACCAATTACACCCGTGATAAACAAGGAAGAGTCGGAAATACATGGTTGCAAAGTCAATGTAACGTGGAGTAGAAAAGAAATATGCACCATAACGAAGACCACTGTACGGTTTAGGGAGATAAACACACTAGGCGATGAAGCTGAATGGAAAGAATTAAAGGTTCCTTCCACCACCTTTCATCTTTTATATTTGGAATGCGACAAGAGGTATGAAATTGGTGTGTCTTCCTGGTTTGGAGAAGTTCAAAGCGACTGGTCAGTTTCTTGGAAATTTAAAACCCACTCTGAAGGTGCGACATTACCTTTTTTATGTCCAATAGCTGACAGGGATTTGGTATAGAAACTAAACCATAATCACTCAAACCTCTGCGAACGTCCATAAACTGTACACTTCTAGAGAAGCTAGCACCCGCTTCTGCTCCCTCAGAAGCAAGCCACGTAGACAGTAAAACAAACCACGACGGAATTTACCACATGAAAGTCTTTAAATGTTTCAAGAACGACAATAAAAATGAACAGATAAGCCTCCGCTTATTGGGAGCTAATCTGTAATTTTTATACTTTTAGCGATCGTTCTCCTTCAAATAGCCTGTCATGACGTTTTATGTTTACATTTTTCATGGCTATCTCGATCGTTCAACGACCGTTCTGTTTTCAAAGATGTTACAGAGATGACGTCAATGCAATTAATCCACATTGTTGACAGGGCATAAATTATTGTTTTTTGCTTCATTTTGTTACGTTTTGTTTCGTTTTGTTTTGTTTGTTTATTTTTTCCTTTGTAGAAGAAATTCTAAAGAAAGATTTGACGGACGAAAATTGTCATATGATTATCATTTGCCTTTTTCCTTGAAAAATAACTTAATTTGGAAAGTTCTGGAAGCTGCTCAAAATTAGAGGATATGGTGACTGAGAAATAGCTTCTTTGATTTAATTTCTTCGTGTAAGGAAATACGTCTTTCATCTGCTCCAGTAAACCCTTTCATGAGGAGAGCCCCGAGAGCTTCAGCAGCTACGAGGGGGACAGCGGCGAAAACGTCACTTAAAAACCGAACTCACGCTTTTTCAACCTTTATCGCTCTTACTTCGGGTCCATCTCGTTTAAGCTGCGAAATGTTGGCCGATATTCATACGGGTTAAATTCTAAAGAATGGTATATCAGTTTGGAAAAGAAAATCGTTGTCATGTGTTCAAATCCTCCATAAACGTAAAATTTGGCAGTCTCACGCCGTGGTCGTATAATGACGGCGAAGAACTGGAACGTTACTAAAACGGGGAAAGGGGAGCAGAGAACGAGAGCAAGGGGAACCGGAAAATAAAAAGTGGGGAACAAACAGAGAATTGGAAATGAATTTACTGAGTGGGCTAGGGTTGAAGTTAGGTTTTGTTCCGATTTTTCATTTTCCTTTTCCCCGTGGTCGTTCACTGTTTTAGTAACATTCCAGAGAACTGTATAAAAAAGCGTGTTGCACGTGCAAAGTTGTTGTTCTGCTAATACCGCTGACAAACCAAATGCGTTTAATTTTTGCCCTTCTCGTTGCCATTACTCTTGTTATTGTATTTATTCTGATTTACGCTCTCCGAAATATAATAGGAATGATGACAACAATAAAAAAATAATAAGATTATACGCATTTCGTATATATTTGTATTCCAAAATAAGGTTAATCGAACGAATCCTAAACAGGTGCCCAAATCCTGAATATACGTACGTTACATTCAGGGTAACTAGAATCATCCAAAAATACCGCTTTTTTTTATAGCGAATGCTAACAACACTCCTCATACATCATAGCAATCATGCCGCCAAACAAGCAGCTAGTTGATTGTTTACATAAGCTTATTTCTTCACACGATCGTACGAAATGATCTGCCGGCACTCACCAACTGAACTGACCCGTCAAGTCTTAAACCCGTAGTTCACGCTCTAGCTTATCATTTTCTTTAACTTCTTCTTCTTATTTTTTTAACCATTCTTCAACAGCCAAGGGTTCATCGTCATACACCATGTAATTTTCCAGGCTTTCAAATTCTGAAGAACGAAGTGACCCCTTTCAAAGGAGAGCTCCCACCTCTTAAATAAGCCACCCCGGGTGCTACGTAAACATTAAAGCTACTTTTTCAATGATGTGTATAACTGTTACAGTTCTTAGCATTAACGATTGCTTGTTTCCCTCAGTGACCAGACAGCTTCTTACCAATAAAAGTGATCCTACATCAGGCGGTTCCATTCTCTATTTTCGAATTCCCCATAATACACTCTGTTTGCCCCCCAAATTCTGCATAAACCATTGTTTTTAAATGCTCCTGGGAGTATTGCATTTTCCCAAGAGCATTTTAAGACAATAAGTTATGCAAAAGTTGGNTCTGTTTGCCCCCCAAATTCTGCATAAACCATTGTTTTTAAATGCTCCTGGGAGTATTGCATTTTCCCAAGAGCATTTTAAGACAATAAGTTATGCAAAAGTTGGGGGGCAGACAGAGTGTATTATGGGGAATTCGAAAATAGTCAATTAGCAAAAATGATCCTACAGGACTCGGCTCCCCTATCGGTAAAAATGATACTACAAAGATTGCCTGGATAATGCTGGGAGTTTCCGTGGCTCTTTCTGCTGTGGTGGTGGAGATAATTGTCTGCCGTAAGAGAGCAAAGAAGAATGACAAACGGTATTTCATTCAAATGTTAATATCACTCAAATTTAGAATATTATTCTTTGTTGCTGAATTGTTCCATGATAAAAATAGACATGCGGAAATTGGCGATATTTTTTTTTTTTGTAAGTGTCTGGGCATGTCTATCTGGTGTCTTACTCGCTCCCAAGCCACAAATGACCTTTCTTACAGGCCAAGGCAGTGTAACTTTTGACTAAATTGTATCAACTAGGAAGCCGTCCCTGATTTAAGCGCTACCCTAAGCCCATGATTAATTACGAGAAATTTCACTGACATTTAATTTGCACTTTGATCCAGTGAGTCTGACATTGCTGAGTTTATGTTGCTGGAAGTCCCACACGAGCGGGTTACTATCATGGAGGAACTGGGACGAGGCGCTTTTGGCAGAGTTTATAAGAGCGTGATGGGGGGGTTACCTGAAAAGAATACATCCTCGAAACCCAAGGTTCACAGTTTGGAATCGCATGAGGGACGTATAGTTGCTACAAAAGTTCTACCAGGTGCGTGAATGCAGAATATGGTAAAAAGATAACTTACTCTTTCAGCATACGCTATTCACGGGAGTGATTCTTATTAATAACAGGCAAGAGAGCCACTCTAGTAACAGGTTTGAATTATTTAATCCAATAGATGGCAACCATTATATCGTGGAAAACAGCATCTCAATGCCCCAGTCGGTAACAGTGTGATGTACCTCAGAGGCCCATTTTAGATCCTTAAATTTTGTTTTCTACTTATATTAATTAATGACCTCCCTGAATGTTTGCAATTTACCACACGATTTGCAATGAATAAATTACTGTAGACATAGAAACCTTCAGTGAGATCAGAACATTGATGAGGTGTGCTCCAAGGTTAGTCGTGTTATAAGTAGTCTTAGACAGGCTCGAGATTATGTCACATTAAATGTACTAAAAAGTATATAGCGCTTAAATCGATGCCCGTGTTCAAGCGAAAACCGAGCGGGCACCTTTTAACAAAACCACACAGATATAAAAAATGCAAAACAGAGCAGGCTGCATGATCACTTCTCAGGGCTGCGGCATGATAACAGATTATCTCTTTAAACCAATTCAAAATTTTAGTGCATGCCTTCGTAATGTGTAGATTGATCGTTCTCTCAGGGTCACCCAACGTCAATTTTCGGAAATTATCTGTTCGGAAGATGATTTGAGATCTAGAATTTTCGGAACATTTATTGTAAAATTTCTTGCTTGCCTGCCTAGGATTTTCCAACTCTTAAAGAATGGTATAATTGCCCATTTTTAACGTATTTTTCCCTAAAAGAGGTCACCTAGAATTTTCGGGAGCGTTTTTCCTGGTTTAAATTTTCGAAAAGGTAAGTTTTTCGTTTTGTGTCCCTAAACTTTGCAATGATTCTCCTTAGCATATAGAGTGTAAAATGGAGTTTGGATATTCGTTCTTCTAAGAGCAATCTTAATAAAAGCTTTAAAAACCTCTAAGCGTTATTTTTATTTCGTAGTTTTGTTTAACAATTTTTTTTATTTTTTAATGTTACGAGTTACTGCTTTCTAGTCGTTTAAGTTGAAAACATTTATTGTAAAGCGCCTTAGAGCTTGATGATGATAATGATGACGATGACAGTGAGCCGAAAACCCTTCATGAAACCCATCTACAAAAGCATACTGGGATGTCCCTGTCTGTGCAGAGTCAATGGAAGTGAGCCAATTGGATAGATACGTTAGGATTACAAATGTACACTCAAGGAACTCAAGGAAAGTCATATTATTGGAGATGAAGAGCCCCTGGGTCGAGAATAGGGAAGCAATTAAAGAACAAAAAACGTGGCGTCTAGAATTAAAGAAACACGTTTCCGGACTAAAAGATCATCCAGTATTACATCATGTTACATGTCGTGCTTGGTGATCGCTAGATGAAGAGAACTAACGGTTTTTCTTTGAGACTTTGTTTTATCTACGTCACTTAACTTAGGGAACCAA